TCATTTCCTCGATTATTGCAAATATATTCATGGAACACTTCGAGAACAAAGTATTGACGTCAGCACCGCTGAAACCCTCTGTGGGGTTTAGATATGTGGAGGCCACCATTTCTGGTCATATGGAAAGACAGCCCTTTTTCAATTTTTGACGTTTTTGAATTCTCAACATAGAAGTATCCAGTGCACCATGGAAATCGAAGAGGGAAGGTGTCTCCTATTTCTTGATGTGCTCTTCCGGCGCAATAAAGACGGGACTTTGGGCCACCAGGTATATTGCAAATTAACATACCAAGATAGATATCTAAATGCCACTTCCCACCACCACCCTGCTCAAAAAAACTCTATGATCAGCTCCTTGATGTACAGAACCCTTGCAATGTCCCAACCCTGTAATGTCAAGTGTGAAGTTCAACATCTTGAGACTGCTCTGACCAAGAATGGATACAAAATACACCAAATTAGAAAAATGAAGCAAAAACTGGGGAATAATCTCCTATTTCCTTCAGAGGGGACCAATCTTGATGAAAATCCGGAAGGACCAAAATGGCCCTCCTTCCCTATTTCAAACGCATAACGGACCGCATAAGCAAAGTACTCGGCAAGCACAAGACTCGAACTGTCCTTCAACCTCGGGAAAAAATTGGACAAATGCTGCCAAGTGCAAAGGATCTAAGGCCGCTCTTGCGCAGACTAGGAATGTACGAGATTCCCTACTCATGTTGAAAAGTGTATATTAGAGAACCCGGGAGGATGATCATTACACGGATCGAGGAACATCAGCGTTGCTCCAAATATGGTCACTAAGAGTAGTCTGCCTTGCCCCAGCTCGTAAAGATCCTTCTCCTCGGCTGAAAACAATCGAACTGGGGGTAATCCTTAAGAAAAAAAAGAGGGGAAATGTCGCTGAAGAAAAGGAAAGGCAAGGAAATGGGCTAAAAATGGAAAATGTGAAATTTTCTAACCATGACGTTTTTATTTATTTTGAAAGCAGACGTTGCAAATAAAATGTAGAGGCAAGGAACAAATTCCATAATGTCATGTTCCAGTGGTCCCTCAATTATTTATTCAAGAAATTTAATTGATTGAAGTAAAAATGTTAATTGGAGAAAATTTAAAAAAACTGTTGTTGTCGAAAAAAAATCATTTTTATATTCAGAATCAACATCAGCCGGTGAAAAATGCAATGTTTGGTATTTTTTCTGTCACATATTTTTCGGTAAGATCGTTATTGGACCAAAAATTTAAAAAGCAAGTTAAAAGATGTCAATAATTCTGGAAGCTCACTTTTAGGAGTAATTTCATGTTTATTTCAATGAGTAATAGTTATTTTCATATTCAGACATGTTTTTGTCGATATGTGGATTTTTAAATTTCTTTCTATATTAATCGCGGCGGCTATATCCCCCATTTTACCATTTGGCAGAGGCGTCCTAGACGTTAAAGACGCTCCCCAATACGGTGACTGTGAGGCCCCCACTACTGTCGCCACTATGATCGTAGTAGGACCCTTATAATTGGCATGGTTATAAACTTTATTGGATTCCTAACTCAAGTTTATGACTCTGCTCCGAGTTACCTGGAGGATACCCATCCCTCATCTAGAAGGTAATAGTTTTTACACAGAATATGCAGAAGAACTCCGAAATCAAAAGTGAATCAAGATCACACTCCTTGAGGTTAGCCAAGCATAATGCAACGGTGCAAGCGACAGTGCAAATGAATCAAATACACTAGAGATTAATTAAACTGACTGGTCAAGAATATTAAGTGGTCTGGAACTTCTATGCAAAAGTGAACTTGATGGCATTGGCGGCATACGGACACGTCGATGGCTTTGTTTCCCAACCGAATTAACCTACAGTGGACGGAACTCCAGCGCAGGGGTCAGTGTACCAAGCTCAGCTACAGGCTTGGACCAAAACCGATGGTAAAACACAACGACTGATACTCAATAGTTTGAAAGAAAAAACCATACTATACGTGATGCCGTGTGAATCTTCGAATGAGAGGTGGGACACGCTGAAAGAGCTATACAAGAGTCGAAACGAAACGAAAAGGCATACCTACTCGACGAAGGACTCGATCCGAGGAAAAAGCTGCTGAAGAATCTCAATCAAAAGGCTCAGAACAAGAGAAAAAGTGGGTTGTCACTATTTCAGCAAAGAAGGGCACTGCGAGTATGAATACTGAAACAACTTTAGTTAAAGGCGAAACTGATGAATCCACCACGACCAAGTACTACTTCAAACGAAATGGAAAGCTAATACTCGCAGGCGATTGTGAGGATGGAGGCAGTTTATTCAAAATGCGATTTCAAGTTGAATTGACTAACGCAAATAGAAATCAAATATCCTAAAAAGCCTTGGTTATCTCGTTAATGGACCGATATGAGCGACTGGTGGATCAACACGTTTCTCATGTGGAAAAAGTTCTAGAAGCAAAGAACATTACACCGACCCGTGCTCGAGAAAGTTACGAGTCATGTATTACAGGGAAGATGAGTAGAATCTCCCATTCACTGAGACAAAAGCTGCAGGAGATATACTACATGCTGATCTATGCGAGCCTATAGAAAACGAGTCTCTCGGTGCTATTAACTAGTTCCTCATGATCAAGGACCACTTGTCGCACTTCAGGTACGTTCATTTCTGGACAGAGAGAAGTGAAATCCTTAATTTTGAACTAGACATCCACCCCTGAAGGTAAATGTATGGTTTAAGTCCATCAAAAAATTAAAATCATTGAAATATTAATTTCTCTGACGAAAAATCCATTCTTATCCTCTCAGTTCCTCCCAAGAACAAAATAAAAGAAGAGAGTGAGAAACATCAAGGAGGGAAATACATCGAAAAATAGTTCTGAGGTAAACTCTGTTGTCCCTAAAATTCCATAAACTCCCCCCTTCCCTCTGCTGTCGCTGTTGATACGACGAGTGAGTGATATTAAATTACAAAGACTTAGACCAAACGCTACAAGCCTAGAGAATCAAACATCATCATCAACACTCATCAGCCCTAGGTTGTATATACGTTGGAACAAAGCAGGAAAATCGAGCGTGATAACGCTGCTGCCTGATGTGAGTCTTCCAAAACCATTCTGGGCCAAAGCATTAAACGGGGCAGTATACATGCTAAATCATGCCAGCTTCGTGAAAGGAAGTACTCCATACAAGCTATAAGTTAACACAAAAAGAAATTTCAATTCACTAATCTGAAACCATTTGAACAACGAGTGTTTGCTTGTATACTGAAACCAGAATGAATCATACAGCAATTCAATCGAAGTACATCGATACACTAGAAGCTACAATCGGCGTAGCCCCACCGAATACGAGCATGGCTCGATTATGAGCAAAAAGCTACCATGCCGCTTCAACGATATTGTCCAAGAGCTACGGAAGGTTTTCATTGATATCACCTAAATCACGACAAGACAAGTGACCCTCTGAGCCAAAATACGTGATGATGATTCCTGACAGATGCCCCAGTTCAATCCCAATAAAAGCGACGGAATTCAGAATCAGTTCCAGTTTATGATCAGAAGTCCGTCAAGTCGTCAGTAATTGACATTCAAACAGTTTAAATCAACAAACTTATTGCATCAACAAGTTGCGAATTCGCTTAGCTCAGGTACAGCCATATTATGCGAATTCGCTTAGTTCAGGTATGTACCTCCCAGCCCGACAAATGATCGTCAAGGCCAGCGGACGCGTTCCACACCACCACTCCCAGAACGACGTCGCTGAATGATTCTTGAGCGCACTACCCACACCACTAAAAACCCACCTCTGTACGTCGAATATTCTGTAGTTATTTATTATTCTGTAAATTCCGCCGCTCGAATTCGTGATAGTACCATTTCCTCCTGTTTGAGCTTTGTCGAGTCATACAGGAATGCAAAATTAATATGGTCGACCTTATTATGGGGTTTCCAGGGCGGATGAAGTAGCCTTCCGTGTCTAGGCTGAAAACCATTCCCGACTGTACCCCTAATGTCGTAATTCTGCTTTTGATTGAGGACATTACCTTTGCGATATGTTCACGGCGTTCCTGAATGGCAAAGAGCCTATCCCCAACTAGTTTATGGAGGGGAGTGTGCTTTCGAAGAGCGAAGACTGATTCGGAGAAATAGTAGGCTATCACGTACTTGAATACGCTCTAGAGTTCTTCATGAGTATCTTCAATGACCGTACACTTCATATTCTATAACGAATATGGCAGTAAATTCACAAACAGTGAACCGCAAAGTGGGTGTGTTAGGGTGCGACAAAGATGTACTTGTGGGTCATTGCATATTACGCAATTACTAATTTGGACCGACTTTCGTAAGGCATTCGAGAGCAGGGATCATATTCCTGCTATTCAAGTACTTCGGGTGGAATATAATATTGTCGGGTGTATTAACGATCTTGCGTCGCCATGGAAAACGCGCTTCACTATGACCTCTGGTAAGAGAGAGATGACTTCGCGGTTGGTGCAATTCAAAGGAGAAATCTCCCACGGAGATACCCTGAGTCTTCTTCTGTTCTGCATCTTATTGATGCTGGTCTCTGTTCAGCTGTGTTGTGTTTGGGGAAATTAAGCCGGAAATCGAGAATAAAGTATCAAAACTTCTAATCCAAATTAATTCTCTGTAGAAAACATCTGGATGACTATGGAAAATTCGTATAATGCCTATAATGCTGACTAGACATCATAGTACCCTGACAGTTTGAGTAAATATCAACAACGATATCATAAGAAACAAAAATAGAGGATCTAGTCGTTATGTGACTAATTTTCAGTTGGTTTTGTGAGCAATAACTGTTTTGCACGTGCAGTTCGCTAAAAAAATGTCACACTCTTCATACTCCTGCTTATAAGAACCGTTTTTTGTTTATGGAACCCTTTCATTAAGCGGACCGTACAATTGGTTTGAATCAAGTTGGAAGATAGCTGGAAAATATGACTTTAAATTATATAAAATTGATGATTAACTCCATGGGTCATTTTATTTTATAGTGATGCAGCACACAGAGTTCATCCTCTGGCGGGGCAGGGTGTGAATCTTGGATTTGGTGATGTTACTGTACTAGTAAAATTACTCGATGATGCAGTGAAGAGCGGCAGCGGCATTGGAGATATTCTACATCTAGCTAATTATGAAACTTTCCGACAAAGACACAATGTCCCGACGTTGATGATCGTTGATGCTCTCCACAGGTTGTACAGAGGTACAGCAGCTCCAGTGGTACTTGCAAGGAGTTTGGGACTGCAATTGCTAAATACTCTGACTCCATTGAAGGTAATTAAATCTTTTTCATAATTCATGAGTTTAATAGTGTATTAAAATAATATAATAATGACCACCGCCGCGAAGTCGCTAGTGGCCTTTCATGCTGCTTCCACGGCGAGCATGGCCCCCTTCATCGCCCCGGGGCGGAGTCGGTGTACCTATCGTTTCTTCTCACCGGTCACGTTGATGTGCGAACCGTGGATAGGTGAAGAAAACGTGTTCGCCGTCTGCGAGCGCCCTCAGGCAGATCGGACAATCCGGGGAATCGTCAACCGTGCCCCAATAGCAGCTGAGTGAGGCAGAAATTTACTTCACCGTACCGTTTACTCACCCATGTGGCTACCTCCGGGATCAAGCCGTGGGTCCATCTTCGCTTTGGCGAGGAATGCCAAACGTCATCTCACCTGGAACGCCACCTCGCCTACAACTTCTCAAGGCTTAAGCGTCTCGCCTCATGTGCTGCTTCCGCCATAGACCTCCTATCCATGGGTGTTCCAGGTGAGGCCGCTCATAGCTGCTCCCTCCGTCGGTATAGAGAGTGTCTCTCTACAGCTAGGATTTCAACGGGTATCATTCGAGCGATGACACCGATTGCGTCGTAAGATACCGTTCTGTAGGTGCTGGCCACTCTCAACGTACTCAGCCTGCATAGGCCCCCCTGCATTCTTCCAACTGTTCCGGCCTCTCCTTGCGTGGAGTGTTGATCTGAAAACGCTTCGGCTTCATGCCTAGCCTTGCGGGTTCTGCACTTCTCCGCGCCAGTGCGCCCCTTGTGCCTTCGACCCCGTGTGGTCTGGTCTCCGGTGGTCCCTGCCTCAACAGATGCCTCCTTCATCCCTGCCACTCCATCCGCCTTTTCCTTCTAGACCCCTGCCGAAGTCACGAATTCATCCACGGCCTTCTCCCTAGGAGCCTCTGATATTCCCTCTGAGACCATCTTCGGCGTTAAAAGTCTTCGTTAATGATCCCCGAACATTCCATGAGAATCCTCGGAAACAGCAGGTCTTCGCCAGCAGAGCCCGGAATGCTGGGGTAAGACATGCATACAATGGGGTGCTACTTGGTACCCTATGGGTATCGTTCGCGACACTATTCCCCAGTCCCATTCAGCCATCGGCACGATAAGTTCCTCGTTAGCTTGGCGAGTTGGTCTGCAACGGTGTCTTAGAGCGCCCTGTCGGGGCCTTAACCCTTCGTTTGCTCGTATAGCTTCCGTTAGCCAGGTTCTGACAACAAGCAGCAGGATCCAGGCCCTGATACCTCGTGGTACCCGTCCCCTTTCCCACCAGCGCCGTATTCCGACAGCCTTTCCCTGGCCGTGACCCTATCCGCCACCTGTGGACGCACCTGGTTGGCTCTCAACCTTCCCCTTCGTCTCGTTACGAGTGCGTTCGGGGCCAGATTGAACTAGTAGTCGCGTTGTTGGTCGCTCGCTTCGCTCGCTCCCGAAGTGGGGTGCGTAGTTGTGGTTGGCTTGCTGGCGAATGCATTCATGTGGGTGTGACCCGTTCAACGGGTCGAACCAATAACCTGTTCTATAATGATTCTCCTGTCTTATAATAATTTTTATACCCCCCAAAATCCATAACGCTTTTTTGGAGAATGAATGGAGCTATTTCGTGTACAACAAAATCAGCACCGAAACACATCGAGACGCTTCAATTGTCTTTTGTTACACCTCGATTGCATCATCCGTTCACAAAAAAATGTTTGCGAAATTTTGTTTCCCATTTTGTTTTTGGAAAACCTGGAGAACGACTGGAGCGATTCAATCGATGATTCAATCAGTGCTTAATGATGTGAAGACGCTTCGATTGTATCATATTAGATCTCGATCGCATAAGTCGTTCACGAGAAATCGCTGATTAATTTTTTGCTACAATATTTCTCGACAAACTGGTGAACGACTGTAGCTAGTCAGTGTATAACATATCGGCGCCGAATTGCATTGAAACGCTTCGATTGCCTTTTGTTACACCTCAATCGCATCATCTGTTCACAAAAAAATGTTTGAAAAATTTCGTTTCCCATTCTTTTCTTTTAAACTGGAAAACGACTGGAGGGATTCAATTTATAATCTAATCAGTAGTGAATGACATCAAGATTCTTCGATTGCATTATATGAGTTCTCTATCGCATTATTCATCCACAAGAAATCGTTGATGAAATTTCCTTTTTTGCAGTTTTTCTGGACAAAGTGCAGAATGGCTGGAGCTATTCCGTGTACAACATAATTAGCGCGCAATCGCATTAGGAGACTTCGATTGCGTTCCATTGGATCTCGATCGCATCATCCCTTCGCGAGAAAATGTTAGCAAAATTATATTTCCCTGATTTTCTGGAAAAACTGGAGAACAACACTAGAGCGATTCTATCCATAATTTGCTCAGTGCTGAATGTCGTCATGATGCTTCGATTACACTATATTAAATCTCGATCGCATCTTTCATGCACGAGAAATCGCTGAAGAAATTTTTTCTCTCAAATTTGTTTCTGGAAAAACTGGAAAACGGCTGGAGC